ATGAAACTTCAACTGCGTGAAATACACAGCAGTATGAAAATTCGGCTGCGTGAAACACACAAACTTCACGCATGCGTGGAGTGTATGGAGTGTACGGGAGTGATTCACGCAATGGTGCGAATAGTCACGGCCATTTCTACATATAAATACATTCAATAAAAAAACAATATCATTCCATGAATAAAAGAACTGATTTTAGAAATTTCTTTAGATCTACTCAGGCTCACTACTGATGCTTGAAAAAATCTGAAAAAATTCAAAGAGAGTGCAGTGGAGGGTTTTTATAAGATATCTCTCTATAAAATACCTCGAGCTCCGAGCGCTCGAGGCCTACCCTCACTCTCGGCACTTTTATCGCCTCCCGAATGTTGAGTTCCGTAGGCTTCTTATAAGATACCTATGGCCTCGACCATTTTTCAACAGGAAAAGAGTGATTATAAGGATCAAACGGATTTAAGGGTCAAACGGGAGGGACGAACGAAGTGATCATAAGGGTCAAATGACCTTAAGGGTCAAGAGTTCAAACGTGAGAGTCAAGTGAAGTAATCAGAAGGGTTAAACGATCCTAAGGGTCACCTCTTTTCTTCGACACTATAATTATTAAAATGATGACTCAGAATTATCTTAATAGAATAAAACCTAATCAAAATTCAATTAATTTACGTACTTTTCAAGAATTTGTATTTCAGCTGTCCAGAAGTGATTATTCTCAAGTCCCCCAACAATCCCCCAACATCAGCTGCCATTCTATCACGCGGGGTTATGTTTAGAAAGAAAAGGAAATGCGGGCTATACGAATTCAAAACATTAAACTCGTATAAACTGATTAGTTATCAATATCCATTCAGTAGAAATGAAAGTGAATCAGCCGATTACACTCCTGAGAAAAGCAATCAATCCACCCAAACCCAAATCGCCGTTGATCGCACCAGAATACTAAACACAAAAATTTAATTTCCTCTTCGCACACCTCGCGAGTCTCTATCGCCCAATCAAAAAATTTCACTCTCGACCCCTGAAGCTCCCATGCATCCGATTCCCACGGGAAGATTCAGCAGACTCGGCAAGAATTGAAAAATCAAAATTTCACGAAACAAAACTGCCGTTCGCCGGCGCAATATCCGGAGCTTTTCATGAATAAAAAACAGATCGCTGGAGAGTTGGACGAAATTTCCGTTTCAAACTCTCTTGTGGAGGGCGAATGGACAGGAGAATAATGTCTCATCAATAATCAATGGAGGAGAAAATTTGAATATCTCGGAAACTCCTAGGGGAATATGGTCTCTATCATTTTCCATAGAGAATGTTGCCAACTTTTGTGTGGAGAAGGGTTTCGTCAAGATTTCTTTTCTTCAAATAAATGGCTTCATTTGAAATTTTTCTATTCATTTCAACATTTTTTGGAAATTAATAAAGTGATATAGCGATTAACAAAAATTCCTGAATCAATCGCCTGGCGTTGAATTTTCAAAGCAAAAGAGAACTGAATGCCATTCTATGAAACATGAATAAACGAATCACAATTGTCCAAATCATTTAGGTCAGAGGAAAATAGAATAATTCTACTTTCTTAATATTTCGTTTACTCAGGTTTTCTTCGAACACAGTTGATTAGAATTAATAGCTAGAATTATGAGATTATCTCACATTTTTGACGTTAAGGATCGGAGAATCTGAATGCATTATAGTGAAAATGATGATCGATTTTTTCATTTTGAACAAATAATATTAATATCCAAATACAAAATTTCTGATATGAATAAAAAGAAGCTGTGACTCAATATTCCAAATGAAGTTTTAATTTTTGATTTGGTGCTGAAAACACGAGATGACAATATTCTAAGCACGGAATTATATTGATGAGATGAACAACAGATTAATTGAATTACCGTGTGAACTAACTAAAAATTGATAACAGTGTGGGCACGCACTTTTACCAGAGTATCAACAAACATTGAATTCCAGAAATTCACACTCTAAAGTGTGTTCTAGAAGGAATTGAATTGTAATTACGATTGAAATCTTATTCAGTGAGCATAGGAATTAGAACATGAGCAAATCATTTATTGTAATATGAAAATTTGACAGCTGATAAAGTGGGACATATTATTCTCATCATTCGTATTGCTTTTTGCGATGAGAATGATTATAAACAATTAATTGAAAGAAGAAATCTGAAATCAGACAGGAAAATCGCAGCAGTGAAATCGCATCAGCAATGATTCATTAATGATAAATAAATCCTCCATTATATGTTCATAAAGTCGGTCACTTCCCTGTTTAACAATGATATTATTACCCACTAATAAAGTCTTCATCACGATTAAAAAAAACATTCATTTATATTAAAAAACTATTCATTCATCATGAACAAGTTTCAGTATTCTGCCTCGTTAAATTACGAACTATATGAATTTTTCTCGTTATTGTGTTGACTCAGAGGAGCACCGGAACCCGTTACCGATTACTAATGAAGATAATGGAATTATCGGATGAAGAGTGAGCACGAGCCGGCAACAATGTAAATAAACCACGTAATAATGTCCGCATTATCATCAAATTCGCTCCAAATCGCAATCAAAACGCGGAAAAGAAACGCAAAGGAACACGACTGCAACCTGATGGGACACATCATCTTTATCTCTGGACAATTAAAAATCGTTGATGTCACATTAAAAAAAAACCAATCATAGGTTAATTATCTCAACGGCCGAGGGAACGTCTCAACTGTTTTTGCGTAATTAGTCCACAAAATCGTTTTCCACAAAATCTTTGCGGGGAAATTATCTGATCGGTTTCATCGAGTGTTTGATCACAATTGGAGGCTGAAAAGACAATATTTTGGTTGTGATGAAGTTGTATCGAGTCCTCACCTGTTGGTACGTTGCTCATTCTGGCTCGTTGTGTTTCCGTCAATTTAAATTACACCAAATGTTTTACTCCACTCGCGTTGTCTGCAAGACCTGTCACTTTGTCAAATTATCCACGTTTTCACCGAATTTAACGCAACAATACGGATTACCGACGCTCGAATGACGTGTTCTCCAGGCCGGAGCGGAGATCGATGCCTTTCTGAATCTCCGGGGAAACAAAATCGTCTGCCATGTTGCCGAAGGTGCGCTATGAGTGGTCTGGTATGCATCGATAATTGACATTGGGGCGGCATCTTGCGGCGGTCCGAGGGATTAGGGTGAAGTTGTAGAATTTGAATTGGCGCGGGGTTCGCGGAATTTTTGCGAAATTGAAGGTGATGGCAGCAGGGCGGTACCACTTCATTTGCCAAAGGCATTGAACAGAGATGGTCAGCACAGCGATTTTGCACTGATGAGAAACCCGCGGAACTAAACATTCGGGAGGCGATAAAAGCGCCGAGATTGGGGGTAGGCCTTGCGCGCTCGGAGCTCAAGGTATCTTACAGGGAGGTATCCTATATAAAGCTTTGACTGTACAGGACTTCCGTTCGGAAGTAAAACTTTACGATAAACGAAAAAACAATGTATATTTCATAATAACATTTATTTCTAAATTCTCACTCAACTCTATACACAACTAAATATGACTTCATATAGGCAACAGAATTACAAATAGAATCTCAACATTTTACTTCATTACAACAATGACCGCTATTTCAACAAAAGAAAAACACTCGCGCTGCATCGATCAGGCTCAACGAAGAAATCAAAATTGATATTATTTCCTCAGTAGGCAATGAATTTTCCCCGCTTCGGCTGAGCATAAAAAACTTATTTTTCCCTTAATTTTTCTGAAAGCGCAGCAACTCACCTCGAAACGATTACACTACTCCTATTACATTGTTTTTATTCATTGGTTGGATATTTGTGTTCGTGATCGTAAGAAAGCTGCAACAGTGTATTTCACTTGATTGGCACAAAGAGTATCAAATGCAAGAGGTTGTATTTCAAGTCTCAGGTTTGAAGCATATTTTTTACAGTGGAAGCAGTCGTTCTACTACGGATTTCGTCTATTACTTTGCTTTTATTTATCTTTCTAGCCAAGAATTTTTCTGGATTATTTTATATAATTTCACTACTTAGTCAAAGCATAAACTGAGTGGAAAATAAATTACTGAAGTCAGACTCATCTGTGGAATTACAGGAGACATTTTTGTCTTCATTCTAGTAATTTTTTTTTTCTCAAGATTTTTATGTACAAGTATTTCAGTCGAGCGGAAGCCCTAATGCTGGCGGTGAATGAAGTGAAGAGATAATTTCACAGTTTCGACGCAATTTTCAACGAGAAGTCAATTTTTTTTTCATTCTTGGTGATTTATTGGTTTCACTTGAAGATCAATTTTTGAATGACATCTGGAAATTTGAGAGAGATCGCAAAAATTTTTATGGGGACAATTTTGATAGACAAATGTGTGAACATGAAAGGAACACAAAAAAGCTTCATTTTGAGACTTGTGACTTCAAATTTACAATTTCGAAAATTTTGACTTGAGGTTTTTGAAATCGTCACGTTTCTGCGAAACATTCATGTTCACCTGGTGAAGTCTCCACCAAGTGCTTGTCCCAAGCGATTTATCCTCAAGAGATAAAACATTTCCGCAAAGAATTAATTTCACAATATCAGATCGACTCTTCTCTCAATTTCTGCGCTCACAATTTCATTCCATTCACCTCCAGACTTGCACTAAAATCGTACACCCGAAATATGTAGAACATTGATTGTTATAAAAATAGGGCGCAGGAGCAATTTTGAGTCTTTCGTTCCGTCGCAACTGGACAAAATTCAGAATTCAGTTGACGCCACTCACTCGTTTTCCCACTCTTCCAATCACTCGTCCTCTTCTCATTACTCACAATCAGGGGAAAATTCCACAGTGACTAGGATAATCTCACCTTTGGATGACTGCGCGTATGTACAATACGATCAAAATAGAATTTTTCAGTTCCCTTTTCTCACATTTGTACTTCTATTTTTCCTCATTCCTCTACTGTTGTTTCCTTTTTTCCCTAATTGAATTAATTTTTTCATTTTAATGAAACTACACAATTGACAAACAGTATCATGGTGTACTAATCAATTTATTTTTACTTCAGGTACGGAAAAATATTATAGAAACGTCAAACGCACGGAATTTTATTGGCCTTCCCCAGAAATTTTGCTCGTTTTTCAAAAATATTTTCCAGAAGAAATCAAGAAATTTTAAATAAAATTTATGTCGATAAATTTCGGTAGAAAAATCAAAATCTGTAATATTTTTTCTATTAAACATTTTTCATCATTTTTTAATATAAGATTTTCTTGCTATAAATCTCTTTATATTGTAAAAATCCAAATCGACTTCTGGTGATGAAAATTGAGGGTCGTGAGGGTCAAAATAATGGTCATGAGGGTCAGAATAAGGGTCAAAAGGGCCAAAATAAGGGCCATGAGGATCCTAATAAGGGTCATACGAGCGACGAGAGTCAAAATAAGATTCATAAGGGACAAAATAAGGGTGATGAAGGTCAAAATTAGGTCATGAGGGTCCGAATAAGGGTCACAAGAGTGATGAGAGTCAAAATAAGATTCATAAGGGACAAAATAAGGGCCATGGTGGTCAGAATAAGGGTCATAAGGGTAACGAGGGTCAAAATATGGCTCAGGAGGGACAAAATAAGCGTGATGAAGGTCAGAATAGGGGTCATAAGGGTCAGATTAAGGGTCAGGCATGACAAAATAAAGGTTCAAAATCCAAGGGTCAGATGAAGGGTCCAAATAAGGATGACAAGAGTCTAAATAAGGGTCACAAGGATCAGATTAAGGGTTGCAAAGGTCGGATTAAGGGTCACAAGGGTCAGAATAAATATCATGGGGGTCATACGGGGGTTGACGAGCAGAGCGAGCAGGGGGCGTAGCCCCAACCCAACAAAATAAGATAAACAGTAATGAAAAATAAATTTAAGAAATAGTGAAATTCCAATAAAAATTCAGCAGAATTTTTATAATATTTTTTCGCACGTGTTATTAATTGATGATTCAGTTTTTCATTTGTATTCTGAGCTCACTCGCTCGTCAATTTTTACGCAGACGATTTCAAGCTCCTCACTGTCATCAGGTGTTTTATTTATTTCTTTATATTTTGTTTATGTATTTTTTACTTCTCGTTCTCTCCGAACGTGTTTATATAGACATCAATTCTCTTGAGGGGTCTACTCCTGTGTTCAAGATAACTAAGACATTTTTCGTGGACGAATCCTAGTGAAACGTTGATTCTTATTTGTTATTTTCTCTCATTTGTCATCAACTTTTCAAGCTTATTCTGTATTTTTTGGTACTGGTGCAAAGCTCTTTCCTTCTTCAGTCCGAAGATCATTTCAGTGATTCTAAAGTGATTGCACACTCGAATATTCCCTCATATCCTTCAATTATTCTGCTCATGTCCCTCTTTTGTCAATTCTCGACTCACAATTTTTACATTAATCAACGGATTGATCATCTCGCAAGGGTACATGATCTTCATTCAACAATTTATGTTGATAATTTATTTATCGAACACCGTGAATTCGGGTCTTAGAAAATATCTTCGATGTCGGAGTAATTGCGGTCCCAATACTCACCTTTGTACAACCAGTCCTCTAGTCCAGTGTACGGATTTATCGCCGATTGGAACCATCTGAAAAATTAATTGGTATTTTTGATCGAGTATTGGAGAAATCAGTGATGAAACGAGATGAATGAAGAATATCCAATTTACCTATTCTACATAACAGGAAATGTAATCATTATAAAACTTAAAAATCAATTATTTAAAGTAATAATAATTCTTTTCAGTAAAATATAATGATAGTTTTTTTATTTTTTTCAATGAAAACTAAGCGAAGAGATTTATGAAAAAATATTGTGATGAAAAATTCCTCTGCAAAAAAAATCGCCTCAAAAGTTTCAACATAGAGTGGACAATAAATAAAAAAGAAAAATACCTTGGGAAATTTCCCGGTACTTTTTTGTGCTTTTTCGATTTGCGTGAGTCCCTCTGTTTCTCTTCGAGTCGAATTTTCTCAGTGGCAGCTCCATCCTGATCCCCATTTTCCAATTTCCTGATATCCGGCCTCAGCCGTGAATCCGTTGGACAGAGTGTATCCGCCATTCCCTCATCCATTTCGTTGAGTGACATTGCGAATTGAGTGAATGAGAAATACTGGAAGAATATAATCAGGATCAATAGCAATGCTCTCAAAAACTTTTATTACTCGTTATTACTTTTATTACTCATTACAGATTTTCGTTACTGAATTGAGTCTTTGATGAATATATTTAAATCGAAGGAAGAGAGCGAAATTCTTCTCATTATTATTGAATTTCCTTCTTTTCAGAGCAAGAAAAGACATATAAAGAAGATCCTCATTAAAAATTTTCTATTCTTTTCATCCCATAAAGTGTTCATGACTTGAAAAACAACTTTGACAATTTTCTCGCTGAAATTTCAAGGGATCTCTCACCAATTGATGGTTCCTGGATTGTTTTCCCCCGGAAAGAATTTCCCCGGAAAAAAATTCCACCGGAAAAAATTCCCACCGGAATCATTTCCCCTTACCACAGAACATGAAGGTTACACATTCACGTATTACCAATATCAATTCAATTTATTACGTCTCTTAATCTTTCAAACCCAAATCAGAATTCAACATTTTCAAAACAATTTTTTTCCAAATTTCAAAACAAACTCTCATGCCTACATGAGAGCCATGCCATTAATTTCCAACGATGAAATAAATTCATTCATTCATTTCTCATGTCCAGAAAAACAAAATTGAGGGGAAATTATCAGGGGAAAAAAATCCGGGGAAATAGACGGGGAAATTTTTTCCACGGGAAAAATGTTCCGGGGAAATTTCGATGGGGAAATAATTTCCGGGGGAAAACAATCCGGTCACCCAATTTATTAGAACTTTCCTCAAGTGGAACTCAGGCAATTCTTCAATTTCTCTCCACTTACATCTGCGCTATTGGCGGGTCGAGGAGTCGCCTCCCAGAGGGTCAGAGAACCTGGGATTTCATCAACCGGAAGACAATCCTCACTGTCAGTACTCGACTCATCGATCGCATCCTGATGAGAGGGTTTGAACGCCCCGATCTTGAGGCTGTTCAACTTGGCCAACACCTTCTTATGCCCTGGACTACCCTGGGGGCTCTTAGCCTCACGTTTTATCCTCTCTAGGGTGTCCTCGTAGAGTGCCGGCTCACACGAGCGCAAACGCTCTGTCCATTTACCGTACAGGAAGACGAGACGTTTCTTTCTGCATTGAGAATTGAGATTGCGAAATGGTAATGGTTCACACCGTGAAGCTACTGTCATTCTTTCTTCTGCGAGAAGTTTTTATTCGAGTCTTCAAACTTTTTATTTTATTCTATGCAGGAATTTTTTATCGTGCAGATAGAGGTGTTTTAAATTGGTGAATTTAGTCTATTCATTCACTCTATTTTTCTCCGATGTCTTCGCATTTTTTTTTACTACATTAAAAAGAGGAAAATTTCCAGAATTTGGAATTGACTGAAGTGACATTTTTTAATTCTATTTTTCCGTTCTTTTCATCAAGAAAATCAAACAAAAAACGTAAAAAATTTGACCCGTGGCAATTCTACAGAAAATATCTCAATAGATTAAGTCATATACAAAAATCGAATTCTGTTGACTTTTTCTATTGAACGTTTCAATGGAATTGTCTAGCGAATGCGCTAGATTTTTCAATTAAATTTTTTCGTACGAGGTAGTTTCCATAGGCAATAACCGGAAAATAATNATTTCCCCTTACCACAGAACATGAAGGTTACACATTCACGTATTACCAATATCAATTCAATTTATTACGTCTCTTAATCTTTCAAACCCAAATCAGAATTCAACATTTTCAAAACAATTTTTTTCCAAATTTCAAAACAAACTCTCATGCCTACATGAGAGCCATGCCATTAATTTCCAACGATGAAATAAATTCATTCATTCATTTCTCATGTCCAGAAAAACAAAATTGAGGGGAAATTATCAGGGGAAAAAAATCCGGGGAAATAGACGGGGAAATTTTTTCCACGGGAAAAATGTTCCGGGGAAATTTCGATGGGGAAATAATTTCCGGGGGAAAACAATCCGGTCACCCAATTTATTAGAACTTTCCTCAAGTGGAACTCAGGCAATTCTTCAATTTCTCTCCACTTACATCTGCGCTATTGGCGGGTCGAGGAGTCGCCTCCCAGAGGGTCAGAGAACCTGGGATTTCATCAACCGGAAGACAATCCTCACTGTCAGTACTCGACTCATCGATCGCATCCTGATGAGAGGGTTTGAACGCCCCGATCTTGAGGCTGTTCAACTTGGCCAACACCTTCTTATGCCCTGGACTACCCTGGGGGCTCTTAGCCTCACGTTTTATCCTCTCTAGGGTGTCCTCGTAGAGTGCCGGCTCACACGAGCGCAAACGCTCTGTCCATTTACCGTACAGGAAGACGAGACGTTTCTTTCTGCATTGAGAATTGAGATTGCGAAATGGTAATGGTTCACACCGTGAAGCTACTGTCATTCTTTCTTCTGCGAGAAGTTTTTATTCGAGTCTTCAAACTTTTTATTTTATTCTATGCAGGAATTTTTTATCGTGCAGATAGAGGTGTTTTAAATTGGTGAATTTAGTCTATTCATTCACTCTATTTTTCTCCGATGTCTTCGCATTTTTTTTTACTACATTAAAAAGAGGAAAATTTCCAGAATTTGGAATTGACTGAAGTGACATTTTTTAATTCTATTTTTCCGTTCTTTTCATCAAGAAAATCAAACAAAAAACGTAAAAAATTTGACCCGTGGCAATTCTACAGAAAATATCTCAATAGATTAAGTCATATACAAAAATCGAATTCTGTTGACTTTTTCTATTGAACGTTTCAATGGAATTGTCTAGCGAATGCGCTAGATTTTTCAATTAAATTTTTTCGTACGAGGTAGTTTCCATAGGCAATAACCGGAAAATAATTATGGTAATTCATTTCTATTGCAAAAATAAATGTTGCTTTGCCCCGTTGTCATGAGAATCAAATCACTACTACATTCGTGAAAAAAATTTCACAAAGCATTGTTTAAACGTCTCTCTACATACTCGGAATCAGTGATGAATCCCTCAACCCGATGTAAATCTTTTCCATTCCACCCAGCACTCTTGAATGACAAAGTTGCCTTGAGATTGCCACCACCGCACTGTTTTATCTCAAGTGCCCCCAATTGTTCCATCCACAATTGTCCCACGAGCACATTGTGGAGTATGCAGTTGACGTTCTGCCATGTATACGCCTCCTTCCACCTGAACAATACCCGAGTGAATAAAATAAATTAATTATTGCTCATTTGGTACTTTAATTCAGGAAGGGCATTGCATACTTGAGTAATTCCACTGTGACGATTCCCTTGGGATGGACCTCTATGTTTTTACCCCAAAACTTGAGTTTTGGGTGGATACTACCGTGGAAGACAAAGTCCTCACCCTCGGCGTGAAACGCTGAGACTGGTGGGTGGTGGGAGACTTGTTCGCAAACTATTCTGAAAGACACCAGGGAAAGATGGAATTTATCAGATTTTCCATCATTTTCAAGGGATTTGGTGGGTGCCGCACGCACAAAACACGTGGGAAATTGCTTTCGTCACAACATAGTCAATATATTTTTGCTAATAAATTGGCAATTTAGGTCTGAATGGAATTTCTATGACGATGTATTTTAAATTGAATTAAATGAATCATTGAATTCAATATTTCCACAACGTTGGGGGTGAACATTGCCTCAACGTTGGCAGCCAACATTTTCCCGACATTTAGCCAACGCTGGTTCAACTATGGCAGCCAACATTGGCTCAACATTACCCCAACATTGGCTCAACGTTGGCTGCCAACGTTGCCCCAACACTTAGCCAACGTTGGTTCAACGATGGCGGCTAACATTGGCTCAACGTTGGCAGCCAACATTGCCCCAACGTTGCAATATGAAATTTTGTATGGATAAAATATATCAAAATCTAAAAGAAAAGCAGCATTTCTAGAGTGAAGTGAGATTCAGACACATTGATCATGTCGTTTTCCTCAAGGATTCGTTAAAATAATCACTTCTGTCCCAAGAAATAGTTCGATGGTTGACGAAACAAAGAAACCAGTGATTGAAAATACTGAATTTATAATACCGGAAGTCCTCTCGTTCCAGTTCGTAAGTTTCACCGAGTAATGGATTAAAAGGTTTCCCAAGTCTCTCCCAGTTTGATGCCAGAGCACTCACAGCAAAGGCAGCCACGTACTGGGCACAAAGGAGAACAAACTAATTACTTCAGACATCAGTAATACATCTATCTCTTCCCTATAACATCCTCGGTATATTCCTTCCTCCCGTTTATTTTTTATTTTATTTTTTAACTAAAAACAAGAGCGAAAAGAATTCCAACTTCAAATGATTGAATTCAAACGGCGTGAATGTAAATGAGAATGGTTTACCTGGAGTCTGCCAGCTGGTGTGGGTTCAGCAGCCGCACACTTGAGTAATTTGGCATACTCCATGTACTCAGCGACTCGTTGGAGGAAGGAGAGCGGTTCGTTAAAGTTCACCGGCATTGTGATCTTGCTGAGCTCCTTGCCCAGCGACAGAACCGAGCACAGATTCACCTCAGATTGTCCACGGACTGGCAGCGATGTCCTTTTATTTTTCACAATCACATTTTTCAGAGTTATTTCACAATCTGTGTTTTTTTAATTTTAACATTTGTCGAATAATAAACAGGTGTGAACAAATTTTACAGAGTAATCTAGACAAATCCATGGAATGGTAGACAATTCCATTGAATTTCTATTAGTTTTTGTTTTATATTTTCGGTAGAATTTCCTCGGCTCAAATCTTCCAAGTTTTTTAGTTTGATTTTCCTGATGAAAATAGAAGAAAAAAACTTGGAAAATTTAAGTCGAAGAAATTCTATAGAAAATATCGCAATAGAATGAGTTGTACTGAAAAATCAAATTCTATTGAATTTTTCTATAGAATATTTTTTATTGGGCATTTTTCCATAGAAATCCAATGGAATTATTACGCGAATTCGCTAGGTTTTTCTGTTAAATTTTTTCGTCCGTGACATGCTGATGTTTGAGACTCAACGAGGATGAACATGGAAAGTTCAACCGAGGATGACATTTTTTTTGTTTCAGGCCTTCTATGACGTACATGTGCAAACTAATTGCATAACTTTGACCCGGTGGTTTTATCGTCAGCGGTTGCAATTGCATTTAGTCCGTTCGTTAGTTTGCATATATGTATGATGGAATAGAGAATAGCCAGGTATTTCATCGGAATTTATTTTCAAAGAGAATTTGGGATGAAGTTTTTAATGATATAAAAATTGAGGAATAGACGAATTTAATAGAAAATCCTGGCGCTTTTCCTAAAAAATTCTATTGAATTTCTATCGGCCCTGTAGGTTTTTCGATTAAATTTATTCATAATAATAATAATTTATTAAGATTTTCTAAGTACATATGAATAAATTACAAATATTAATTGCAATATTAATAGCAATTATTAATTATTTTTTACACACATATGAAAAAATCTTAATAATTTATTAAGATTTTTTAAATTCTATAAAAAATAAATTAAATTCTATTAAATTCTATAAAAATTTCTGTTAAAATTTTATCAACTTTTAAAAACTGCTTTATTTTTTCTTGCGCCAATTCTATAAAAAATTATGCAGCTTACAGCGTCATTTTTTGATAAATATTTGATGGAAAAAATTCAATAGACCTTGCGTTTTCCATAAAAAATTCTTGGGCATAAATATTCCAAGTTTTTTCCGCTCCATTCGTATAGTCTGAGAATGAAATTATTTATCATGCGATTTCACGATTTTTCCTCTCAGCGTATAGACTCCTGCGATAAAATTGACACAAAACACAAATAAAACTCCATTAGAATTTTCACAGAGTTCCAATACAAATTCAATCAATAGAATTTTTCACGAGAAAAATAAGTTTTCCCATTAAATCTATTCACACATATTCAAAAAATATTATTGAAGAAATTATTACAAAAACCAAACCACCACTATCGCCCCTTTCAACAACGAAAACATCCCCATGCGAAAAACCGATAAAGATAACCGGACAAACCTGTGAGAAGAGTGTTCATTGGCCATTGTACGGTATATCTGATTGTGCAGCAAGACGCCCTTGAACAGAATGATCTATTACCGAACCGAGCACCCAACCACTTTCCAAAGTATTTTCTGTCCGCTTTCTTTCCACTTTGCCGTTTCACCCCAGTCGCCAACATTCGGCCAATGCTCATGACCTCTGCAGCCTCATTATCCCAAACTCATAAACCGAATTATCCGGGAAATACTGGTCTCAGGGGCGAGGAGGGGAGAGGGTTGAAGGGGGATGGAAGTTGTATTTATAGAGGTGTTTTATCTCGGAATATCACCGTGTCATCACGCTCCCTGACTCATACCACTTGATGAAGAGAAAAACTACTCGAGAAAATTGTTTTTCCAGTTTTTTAAATTTCTAGTCTTGAGACACTTCACAACAACAAGTCTGGAATATTAATTTTCCCGATCAGCTGTAACAGTTCACCCCTGTTCACGTCGAATCTCTGGGACTAGATGGCACGAGTTTTCATCCCCGATCGGTCTTTGATTGTGTGGCAGGGTAAAATGTCGATAAATTCGGGCATGGGTAGAAGAGGTGGTTTGTATGGGTGATGGTACATAAGCGACTATTACAACTCAGTGGGTTGAGCATGCGCATGTTGTTTAAAATTAATACGGGGGTAGGTGAGACCGCTGGATTCGAATAAACTTGTTATTTAAACGATCGCCTTATTGTTGTTATGCATATCTGTGGGGGGTGAGGGTGAGAGAGGATTCTTGGTGAATCGCGGGGGGTAAATCATAGAGAGGAGAAGGATCAATAGGAAATCAGGAATTTTGGAGAAAGAAAAAAGATTATGATTTAATTGTGAAGGGTGCATCCAGGAAATCAGGAATTTTTGAGAAATCAAAAGACTATGATTTAATAGTTAAGGATGCATCGAGAAAATCAGGGATTTTGGAGAAATAAAAACACTATGATTTGGTGTTAAGGATGCATCGAGAAAATCAGGAATTTTGGAGAAATCAAAATTCTATGATTTAATTGCCAAGGATGCATCCAGAGATCAGGAAATTTGGGAAATTAAAAACACTATGATTTAATTATCAATGATGCATTCAGGAAATCATGGATTTTGGAGAACGGAAAATACTATGATTTAATAGTTAAGGATGCATCCAGGAAATCAGACATTTTGGAGAAATCAAAATTCTATGATTGAATTGTCAAGGATGCATCCAGGAAATCAGGAATTTTGGAGAAATCAAAATTCTATGATTTAATTGTCTAGGATGCATTCGGGAAATCAGGGATTTTCGAGAAATTAAAAGTCTATGATTTAATTGCCAAAGATGCATCCAGAGATCAGGAAATTTGGAAAACTAAAAACATTATGATTTAATTGTCGAGAATGCCTCCAGGAAATCAGGAATTTTGATGAAATCAAAATTTTATGATTTAATTGTCAAGGTTGCATCCACGAAATCAGGAATTTTGGAGAAATCAAAATTTTATGATTTAATTGTCAAGGATGCATCCAGGAAATCAGGAATTTTGGAGAAATCAAAATTTTATGATTTAATTGTCAAGGATGCATTCAGGAAATCAGGGATTTTCGAGAAATTAAAAGTCTATGATTTAATTGCCAAAGATGCATCCAGAGATCAGGAAATTTGGAAAACTAAAAACACTATGATTTAATTGTCGAGGATGCATCTAGGAAATCAGGAATTTTGATGAAATCAAAATTCTATGATTTAATTGTCAAGGTTGCATCCAGGAAATCAGGAATTTTGGAGAAATAAAAATTCTGATTTAATTGTCAAGGATGCATCCAGGAAATCAGGAATTTTGGAGAAATCAAAATTCTATGATTTAATTGTCAAGGATGCATGCAAAAATTTCTTATCCCAAAACCTTCTTTCATCCAAATCATTTGATTATTCAAATGCAATTTTTAGCTCCAATTGCTGGTGATGTTATTATCCAAACTTCTAACACCGATATGATTTAATTCTCATAATCCGATCGTTCTCCAGGCATTGAGGGTTAATGAATTATCCTCTCCGAGATAAACCCGATTAATCAACAAGATTAACCCGGTAATTACGGCCTCAACGCTGGAAATTCATAAGCGCTTCGATTAAGTGAATTATCCTCCTCGCAACAGGAAAAGGGGAACGAAGGTGCACAGGGGTGAAAAGGATGAAACGGGCAAAGTTATAATAGGAAGAATCAATGTAGCTCTGTTGGCATGTTGAGCATTGCCTCACGAGTAAGACGTTTGGTCGATGACCTGGCGATGTTACAATAGAATAAAATATGAAATGAAAAATGAAACGGACAGTTCTTTTCCTTCATTCGTCCGCCAATCCCCAGTAAAATATCAAATTTACCTCTTTAAAAATGTAGAAAATTTATATCTTTCGACCATTTCCAATAAAATTTGCATTCTAAACTCGATCTCAATCAATAATCTAATAGAAAACTGAATAAATAAATTAATAAATAAAAATTGCACAATATATATTTATTCAGAATCAAAAAGCGAAAAAAAATGGAAAAAACTTATTATATATTTTTGTATTGCTTTGAACAACATTGAAACATATTTTGAAACAACATTCGTTATTTGTAAATAAATAATTAAAATTGTTTAAACTTCCAGAAACCTAATTTTTGAGTCATGAAATCGATTTCTGATAAAATACTAAATATGAATAAATTTGTTATGATCCCAAAACAATAATTTTTGTGGTGGAAAATTGAAATTATTTATAAAAATTGCCCGTAATTTTCAAAAATTGCAATGTAATTTCATCAGTTTTCCTCCAAAAGCGAACTTTCTATTTTTTTCAATTTAAAAAAATGTTTTCTAACGGTTCAATACCAACATTTAAATTCCGACCTGCAAAGTTTAAACAATAAAATCAAATCGGGCTCAAATAAAAGCTCTGATGTTCAATTCCAAAAGTAGAAAGGTATTTCCCTGTCGAAAAAATTGTTCATCTACTTGGATATCCTCAAAACATGAGACCTATCTCGCCCCACGTAACTTGAGTTCCCGGTGAGAATTGAGCGATTGAAGAAAAATGACTCGCCTCAAGTAAACATGTATCACATATTAAATTTTTTTTTTCTCAGTGTATTGATTTCCCTTCATAACCAAAATCGATATTCGTACGTGGCACACAGCGGCTCACTTCGTTACAGATCAACTACCTCCGCTCAACTTTCGAGGGAATTGGCATACAACTATTCCATCCAGCGAGGAAAGACGTGCTGTTTTCGCAGTTGAGTCCGCCACCCCCTCGGTTTCAGTTTCAAAATCACAGTGTCAGTCGCGCGCCTCCCATCGATTTCCCAGCCTCCCACACGTGAAATTCAATTTTGATCAATTTCCGAGTTCATTCGATTATGCAGTACAGCCGACAGCGGAAATTTCATTGAACAAAAGTTTACAATTGAGTTGAATCCCCGAAGACCTTTGGGTGATGCCAGTGCGCAGCAAAAAGTTGGGATAATACTCTGAAAAATGTCCTGGAGTGCTGTAAAGGATCGCCTGAGCCAGAGAGATGCCTCGGAGACTGGATTAAAAGAGGAAAGACCGAAGGATGAGAATTCGGAGGCGAAAGCCGCTGGAGATAAACCGAAAGTCAAGAGATACAGAAATAAACATATGAAGCTGTTTCCGGAGTTGTATAGGAGTGATGTGTCCATCCATCCGAGTTATACGGGATTAAAAACACTTCCTTAGTGAGTGATTAATTGAGAAAATTTTATTTTATCCTCTAATGATTAATTACGAATGGCAATCGTGTCTGGTAGAAAAATTTGAAGAAAAAAAATTCTTTTCCTTCACTTTTATTGGATTTTATAAATGAAAAGAAAAGAAAAATAAAATGAAAAAAACTTGGCAAATTCGGGGTTCTCGCTCCGCTCGCCAACCCCCATAATATTATGACCCACATATGACCCCCATGATCCTTATTCTGACCCTTGCGAGCCTTAATCAGACTCTCGTGACCCTCATTACACTCCTCGTGACCCTTATTTGACCCTTCATTTCTGAACCTTAATTTTGGGGTCTCAATTTCGAGTACCAAATTTTCATCGCCAGAAGTCGATTCGGACTTTTCTATAATATACAGAGATATATAGAGACTCTTATTTTGACCCTTGTGACCCTTAGTTTTTGAAACCGATTGCCCCTTAATCTGACCTTTGTAACCCTTATTTTGACCGTTGTTGCCCTAAATCTGACCCTTATGATCCTTATTCTAACATTAATGACCCTTAATCTTCCCTTATGACCCTTGATCTAATCCTCGTTAAGCTTATTCTGACCCTCGTGATCTTTATTCTGGCCCTAATGACCCTTGATCTGACCGATGACCTTTAATCTGACCCTTGTAACTCTTATTCTGACCCTCCTGGCCCTAAATCTGACCCTTGTGATCCTTATTCTAACCCTACTGACCCTTGTGACCCTTAATCTGATCCTCGTTGACCTTATTCTGGCCCTCGGGATCCTTATTCTCACCCTAATGACCCGTAATCTGACCCTTGTGAGCTTTAATCTGATCCACGTTGAGCTTATTCTGACCCTCGTGATCCTTATTCTGACCCTCAGAACCCTTACTTTACCCTCTTGACCCTCATCCTAACCCTCTCGAGCCTTATTACGACCCTCACGACCCTTATTTTGACCCTTGTACCCTTAATCAGAAGTTTTAATTTCGAGTACCAAATTTTTATCACCAGAAGTCGATTTGTATTTTTATAATATAGACAGATATTTTCTATCGAACATGTCAATAGAATCGGTCAAAAACTAACCGAAATTTCGATAGAAATCCAACAGAGTTGTCTAACGAATTCGCTAGGTTTTTCCATTAAATTCTTTCGTGCGTGCAAGGCCTCGTAATAAACCAAATGAATATGGTAATTAATGAATAGCTCTTGATTATTGTTTTTTCCTTCTCTCAAGCTACGTCGTGTGTCGTCGAAGAGTCCACAAGACTCGCAAACAAATCACACGTCAGCTAAACTGGGAGATTAAGCACATGGCGATGATGCAGACGTATGCACTCGGAGGGGTGAGGATAGACAGGACATTCAGCATTGGATTTCCGCAGGATGCCCTGGTAATCCCGGATTTCGCGACGGATAAGGAGAGAAGACGGATTAACGAATTAGTCGGCATCAGATAATAGTGATTTTTTTTTATACTCACACTTTTTGTGAACACGTATGAAGAAAATTAGCAGAAAAATCTAGCGAATTCGATTGAAAATTCTGTTTGATTTAATTGGATTCTACTGAAAATTCTCTACTAGTTTTGGACCGATCCTATTAATAAATTCCGCAGCTCAGTTGTGCATTTCTTTTCAATAGAAATCCCCAAATAATATTAGAATGGTCTATAGACTAAATCAATATGATTCGATTTTCCTATGCAGCGCACTCTATTGAAATATTTTCTACAGAAATTCCTCGACACAAATTTTCTACGATCTTGTGTATATTTTTCTACCGATGAGAACAGAAAAATAGAGAGAGGAATAGAAGAAACAGAAGAATAGAAAAAGTATAGAAGGATTAAATTCTACAGATTTTTCTAGAAAATTGTTTCAATTGAACATTTTCTTTCTAAAAAATGGGTAGTGAATTTCCGGAAATCTTCAATAGAATCGGCCGAAAACTGATGAAATTTTCAATAAAAATACAGTAGAAACCCAATAGAATTTTTTTTATCCAATGCGCTAGATTTTTCTATAAGTTTTTTTTGTATGCGAAGAATTGTTTTGTAAGTGAATTATCAAGAATATTATCTCCTAGATCGAAATTACATTATCAAACAGTGTAATGTAATTCGAAAAATTGAATTAAATTATCTTAAAAATGTAAAGTAATGTAATTTTAGATGAATTACATTTTCGAAATGGTACTTGCAGCTGGAAAATTTATGAGAATTTATGAGGGAAAATAAAAATTATGATATTGAATAAATAAAACCATCTGACAATTTCATAGAATCGAAGACAATTGAGAGTCGAAATTTTTGTAATGTCAAAACTCCCCGTCACCTCCAAAAAATCACTGAAAAGGTTAATGAAGTATGTTCCGGGGCAAATTTCAACAGCAACGTCTCTCGATTTTGTTCAGCTGTGGGAAGTCCCCTCTGGAGCTATGGGAAATGCACGTTAGTAACAGCACAAATATTCGAAACGAAAAAATTTGGTAAAAAACCCGGCGAATTCGATACAAATTCTGTTGGATTTCTATTGAAATTCTATCAAAGAGCTCTATCAAAGAATTCCGCGACTCATCTGCGCATTTTTTTCAGAAAATGGCCAATAGAAACTATTTTAGGGAAGGCTGGGAGAAAATGGACACTTTTTACTTTTTTTCAAATGCTAATAATTTATTGAATTGTTGATGGAATGGAGTAATTTTTTTTTCAGTAAAAAGTACAATTCTTTCCCTTATGATGAGCCTAGACTGAGCTCAATTGATGGATATATTTATGAGTTATGAATATTTTTAAAAAAGTCAAATGTCCATTTTACCCCACCCTCCCCTACAGAAAAAAAATCCATTTTTTTATTTAAACATTTCCTATAGAAATTCTTCCACAGGAATTTTTTCAAGTCTTCCACTCTAATTTCTTCCCTTATTTATTCAGAAAATCAAACAAAAAAAAACAGAAAATTTACGTCCAGGAATTTCTGCGGAAATTATCACAATAGAATAAGTTGTACAGATGAATCGAATTTTATTGATTTTTTCAATAAAAATTTTCTATTGAACATTTTTATCGAGAAAAAAGACGCGCAGATAAGCTGCGAAATTTTTCAATCAAGTCGGCCAAAAATTAAAAGAAAGTTCAATAGAATTTTGCCAGCGAAATCACCAATAGGATTTTCTATGCGAATTCCTCACACCTGAATCCTTGGAATTTGCGAACAAATCGAAGTTTATAGGTGAAGAACGGCAACATCAGGCGAGTTGTAGACGAAGAGGTGATTTCCCTCGCCCTGGAGATAATAGGAACCAACGTCTCCACGACGTACATATTCTCCCCGAAGAACCCCAGAGGTGCCCTAGGAATTTGCCTTCCCTTTATGATCATGATTATCAAGAATATGAAGAGATACTTCACTTTCGAAATCACTGTAAATTCATACTTTTCTATATTTTCTTCTTGATTCCTTCACATAAATTGACTAGTGCTTTTATCTGGAGTCAAAAGACATTTTTTTTTTTTCGAAATTGGCATTCTATAAAAAATGGCAGAAAACTCGATTAAATTCGGAATTCTAATTTTTTTCTCAATTTCATTATGGTTTTGGTTTTTCAAAGAAGAAATGTTTAAAAATCAGGATTTAACCCAGTGTCTTATGTGAAAATCAACATTTCCATTGTAATCAAAGATTAAAATCTGAATTTTTTTTCATTAGATGTGAAAAAATCAAAAATTTTTTTGACACCTCATAAAAAATAATCCACCTTATTTTGCAAACAAGTTTTATTATTTATTCATAAGAGGGAAATGTTTGAAAAAATATCAATATTTTGCGAATATTAATTTAGATAATACTGACTGGGTATGAATTTTTTTTAATTTTTCCCATGCAATGTAGTAGAAAAATTAAAAAACTGAAAATATTCAAAAGAACAGCGTAGCCCGGCCGAAGGGTAGAGCTACTTTAACCCTAGATTGGTCACCATATGAGGAAAGTGCCGCAGCGCGTCGTTTTTCTTGAATTGCCATTGATTAACTGATCGAAAAAATGAAAAAAAAATTTCCTTTTCCAATCAAAGTGTCTAAAAAAATTTAATAGTTATAGAACAGCATAATTCTCAAAATTCCTAAAAAAAACAAATTATTTCTAACAGAGGAATTATTTGTTCCCATGTTAAATCAAAGTGCCAGTTACGCGACGTTGCCGGAAATTCGCTAAACGCGCCGGGGCAGTGTACAGTGAATTCGGCAACATTCAGGCCTAAATAACACGGCGGCACTTCCCCGCGGCGTGACCAATCGCTGGGTTGCGTAAGGTGACCAACTAGGGTTAATAAAAATTCGCTCGCCCGCATAATTCCAAATTCCCTGATCCCTCTAGATTCTTGACGATCAAAACATGCACCGTCGATTTCGAGCGAGTAACTTCCAGAGTGTGACGCGGGTCCGTCCCTTCGGCATTTCGATGCCGATCTGCCTCGGGCCAGGTTGGAACCAGGTTCAATTCAACCTCGCGGAGTTCACGCGGCGGGCGTACGGAACGAATTACGTGGAAACGACGCGTATGCAGATCCACGCGAACTGCAGGCTTCGTCGAGTCTACTTCTCGGACAGATTGTACACCGACGACGAGCTCCCGGAGGAGTACAAGCTGCAGTTTCCGTCGAACAAACCGGAGAAGTCGGAAGGAGGGTCGAAGCAGAGCTCCAAGACCTCCCTGGGGAGGGCCTCGAGGGCTTCCAGGGCTTCTAGGGGTCACGGCGGGGAGTATGGGGAGTACGGGGAGGAGTCACTGGGGTCGTCAGCCCCTCCGAGGACTCCGGCCAGCTCCGAGGGCTCGGGGAGACTCAGTGTTCATGTGCCTCTGGGGAGGTACGAGGAGGAGACTGACGAGGGAACTGAGGGGGAGTCTGACGCGGACACCGAGAGGAAGATTAAGGAGGAAGGAGGATTGGGAGAATCCGCTGACCCTCAGGGGGAGCCTCGAGAGAGTGGAGAAGGTGAAGAGACTCTGCAGGAGGCACTCCCTGGAGATGACGAGGGAGAGGATGGGGATGAAGTCGTGGAGGATGAGGGGAAGATGACGGAAAATGAGGTGGAGGTTGAGCTGACTGAAGCGGATGGAGGGAATGATGCGGGTGAACGAGGGGAGGACGAGGAGGAGGGACAACCGATTGTTCATGAAGCGCAAATTGAGGAGATGAAGGAATTTTGATTCAGTTATGGAGTCATGCAAGGGGATAAAATTCTTCTGAAATTTTTGTAGAAATGTTCAGATAGGGTGGATAGGACTGTAATTGGAGTCAGGACTATACCTCGACGTTTCACCTTTTATTGAATATTCTATGAATAACAGAATGAAAACTGTACGGATCATTATCATTATCAATAATAACATTTATATGTAATCATGGGATGAAGTTTTTTTATTAAATATTAACATTGCAGCAAGGGAAACAATAAAATGTTTGAGAGGTACATCTGACTGACTCTTCCGAAAGAGGTGAAGATTAAGAATCTACTTGGACTTGTATTTCTTCACATTCAATTTTAAAAAATTCACATATTTGTATAAACTGGATGAACATTTTGCTGAGGTATTAAGGGTTTGGACGATATTCCACTTTTCCGTCATTTCATTATTCTTCTCTTCATTTTTTCCACTTGAAATTAGTGTTTTTTTCTATTCTTTCAGGTCTAGAACTCATTTTTTATTCATTTAGTTACTTCATCGATTTTAAATCTTTAACGAAGTTCAACATTTCCTTAACCGTTCGGCTATTAGCCTGTTTTTTACCCTACTTATCATAAATTTGATATGAAGTTGAGTTGATTTATTCAGTTTTATCACTTCAGTGGTGAATAAATTAATGAATATTGTGATTTATTTGGTCTAACAGAAAATAAAGTGGATCATTGAACTGTAAGGAGAGATATTTAATTTAATTCAATGAATAAAATCGTTGAAATTATAGAAATGGATAAAAATTGATGAGAAAAAAACAAAATTCTTGAATGAAAAATCTACTTCAATAAAAAATCTAAAACCTCTGAATTTAGGAATTATTTTCAAATTTAAGAATAAAATATTTCCAATTCAACAATCCCAAACGATTCTATACGTGAATTAATCAATCAGCACAACTTGAGTTATAAATTGACATAATGAATATTTTATTTGTCCTCAGTCAATACTTCATACAGAATTGATAAAAATAATAAAGGAGATAAAAAGTATAATGAAAACATACGAAATATATCGTGGAAGGATTATGGAAATATGGAATTAAGGTACATCGTAGTCGTCATCCTCACGCTTCCTCTTAGCACTCTCCTCCACCTCCATTTTTACGACTGGTGTTCCCTGAGTTGTTCCCATCGGGATTTTGGGCTTCGGGGCTGTTGAAGTGCTTCCTGAAGACGCTGAACCTATTCCAGAAAATTCAATATTTTTTAGACTCTATGAGGAAAGTTCACTGGGTGATGTTTGAGCTTACGAGGATGGATCCTCACGACGAATTTGTAGACGGAATTTTCGGGAAGGGAAAGTCTCTGGATCGGTTTGGGAACTGGGAAAAAATATCAGTTAGAGGAACAGTGAATGAAGATGATTTTTTAATGAAAATGTTCACTTTCTTTAACAACACAGAATTCAATGGAATTTTTCTGTACAAGAAATCATATTGAAAAATATTCCACTATCTAAGAGAGAAAGTTAAATTTTTCATGAGAATTTGTGTGACTTCAGAATGAAATTAATCTTTAAAATGGATTTTAAGGAGTTTTTCATGAATATTTCGTCGGTTTAGGGATATAACAAAATTTTGAAACAGAATTTAATCGGAGGATGAAAGGAAAGCTCGAAAAAAGTTGATATTATTTAGTCATGTCTGTTCTTGAGTTGATTTTTTTTAACAAAAAATGTCACGCTTTTATTTCAGAACGAAGTGAGATCTACCAAAAAAAGAAATTTCAAAGAAAATTTCTCAATCTTTTCCATTCTAATTTATTCATCAAGGGCTCAACATAAAAAATTAAAGCAAAAAGTTAATTTTGCTATGAATTTTTACTTAATATCTTTAACTTTGGGAAATTTTCTATTATTTTGGATCTCGATTCCTGTAAACATTTCTCGGTTTGAATTTTTATAGAGGTAGAAAACATTTAATACACTTTGATTTCAAATCGACAAAAAAAGTTCTTATGGAAATGTTCTCAATACATTCTAAGAACACACATTCATTCATTAAGAACTTAATGTCAGAAATTTAAGCAAGAAATTGATTTTGCTACGAATTTTTACTGAATATCTCTAAATTTGTGAGATATTTTTACAGAAATATTTCAGAAATATCCACGAACAATTCTTGTTTTCTCGCAAAATGAACATATTTCCACAAATCAAAACGAAAGAATTGTCCATTAAATGCGGGATTTATTGAGGAGAAATTGTTTTCCCATTGAAAATGACAGTATTTCAACTGAAAATCAACAATACCCCATCATTAAACCTCAAATTCTCCAAAGAACATTAATTCACGTAAACCTCAAGAATTCAATTTTTAATCAAAATAATCACCTGTTGTAAATTTGAAGACTGGTTTTGGTATTGAAATTGTCTGAGTCCTGGCAATAGTGGACAGCGTTGTTCCAGGCCTCTTGACAATGGACATTGGCTTGTTTGCATCGACTTTGAGCCTAGACGAGCCCCCCAAACTGTTCCCAACCAGAGTGTGCATCTTTCCCGTTTGCTTTTTAGTGATATTCTTCAGCCTGTAATTCGCCGAGTTGAGGCAGTAGCGGTCTGGTGGGAGTCTGAGCCCATTGTTGGGCTTGACAAATGGCAGAGGAATATTGTTCTTCGATTTGGCAACGTCCAGGAGAACATCGCGAGGGGGTGGATTCGTGAATGTGCGATCCAGCTGCATTTTCACAGCTAATCTCACATCCTCGAGGTCAATGAATTTTTTCTTCGCGTGGTTAGCGTAGATTTTACTGTCGTCGAGGATGCAAGTGATGTAGCCTTGAATAAATCATTTGAAAGCTCATTATTTTTTCAAAAATCGATTTTTCAACGCTCAAAAATTTGTCATCAAAATGGAATTAGTCATGGCTCAAAAAATTGATAACAATATCCTCCTGATTCTATCAGAATATGAAGGGGGTCGCACAATTCGTTGTTCAGTTACAGCACATTGTTTATGCGATTTGAAAGAGAAAATTCGTTGTTTCATGATTACTGAAAGAATCATCAGTAATAGCAATTAAATCAGGGCTTGAAAAGTATATTTCAATGGCTTCTTAATCAAGTTGAAAAATGGTGAGAACAGCATCATTGCTTATCAAGTTACACAATACCGTCATGAGCTTTTTATATCAAAATCTCTATCTCTATTAAACTCAGGTACCAGTCTATTATGTTGAATACTTATTCATATTGATTCATGGTCCCGACTAACTTCTGACAGAACCTGGGTTAAACTCTGGCTAAATCCTGAATAAACCCTGATTAAATCCCGGCTATACACTGATTAAACCTTGATTGAGCCTTGTTTAACCCCGGACTGAAAGCGAAAGCGAGTCTTGAGAGGGTCTGAATGTAGAATTATTTGACGAAACGAAATAATACGCAAAATTTTGATGGCATTTCAATTGATGATAGTACTCTGACATGAAAAAATAGAAGAGAATAGTTAAATACGCATTAAAAAAAGATAACCCATTCGCAAGCAAATTGCTAATTTATTAACAACAATAACTGTACTCATTTATAAAAAAATGCAATTGTCCACTTGTTTCACGTAATTTTCATTGAAAATTGATTGTTTACAATTTTGGACATGTGGTATAACCTACTAAAAACACTGAATACACTCCTTTCTCCTCAAAAACAGAGAAATAATTCTGGACTAAGAGAATGAGCCAGTGAAACTCTTTTCATTTTCTCCTCAGATTTTCCTGAATAAAACTGCTAATTATGTCAACAATGTATTTACTTACGATAGGTGAATTCAAGGAGTTGATTGATGACTTTTGGCTCGTAGTCTGTGATCCCCATATCCTTCATAATTGACATTATAACCTGTGCATCCTTGGGAACGTGTTTCACGTGACTTATCGACTTGGTTTTCTCCGCCATTTCGATTGATTTTCACTGGACTGTACATTCAATGACAGATTTCACTCAATTTTTCGGGATTTAGGGATAACAAAATCACGTAAACATTGGAGTACTTTGGAGAGGATGATGAGAGACACTCTGACGCGTCAAACGTTGGACGCCATCGCAAAGGGACTGCTCGATTGCCTTCGGGAGCGGTCGGGAGCAGTCGGAAAGTATTCAAACCGAATGAAAAATAGGGATATTTAATTATTTTTATTTTAGTTTCGAGAAATTATTTGTTTAGTTTGCAGGTCTGAATTTGAATCTCGATATTGAACCGTTAGAAAACATTTTAAAAATATGAAAAAGAAAATTGAAAATTTACTTCTGGATGAAGATGGATAAAATAATTTAAAAATTGCAATGATAAATAATTTGTAAACAATCAATTTTTAGCGATAAAAATGATTTGTTCGGAATCGTAACAAATTTATTAATATTCAGAATTTTACCAGAAATCTATTTCATTCTAAAAAAATTAGGTTACCGACATTTGAAACAATATTAATCATTTATTTGTAAACAACGAACGTTGAAAAAAAAAGATAATTCTGCGCAAAATGTAATTTTAATGACGCTGAATATTGACTTTTGGATGAAGATTGATAAAATAATTTAAAAATTGCAATGATAAATAATTTGTAAACAATCAATTTTCAGCGATAAAAATGATTTGTTCGGAATCGTAACAAATTTATTAATATTCAGAATTTTACCAGAAATCTATTTCATTCCTAAAAACAACAAGGTTTCCGAAATTTTAAACAATTTTAATTATTTATTTATAAACAACGAATGTTTAAAAAATAATAATTCTGTGCAAAATGTAATTTTAATGACGCTGAATATTCACGATTTTTTTCAAAATTTTCTCATGCAATTTATTCGACTAATTTGATGATTGAAAATGGTTGAATCTGAAGTGTGGTGCAGTATCCAAGATATTTAACTCACTTATTAAATTAACGTATTTTTTGAAACGTATTATTCACTCGGGCTATTCTTCTCGTTCTTTGCAGACTATTACAATAACTGAATAACTTCCTCTCTTAGGGTCGGGAAGTTAATTAACTAATAAATGAATAAATAAAACATGTTCAAGGAAGGAATTAAAAAATCAGACACTCCTACACAACTCTAGTAACAATGATTTATTTATCTCTTGGCATAAGTTCTCAATGGCTCAACTTTCGGCTCCTTCTTCACCACCACTTTACGCTTCCTGAGGCAGTACCACGGCTGGGAGAGGTCATAAGCCTCAGACTGTGCGGGTAAATGGTTGTCCATGCAGGGAATATGCCATCCATTGTCGTCCTTCTGCGCAACAGGGAGATAAGTAGGCGGGTAAACCAAGAATATAGTCTTATTCCTCGTGTAACCATTTATCGTGGGATGAATCTGATGAGTCAGGAGCCAGAATTTGAAGGTTTTTTGTAGGGCGCGATCTGACAGAATGAACTTGTGCTGTCGCATCAGATCGTTGGAGACTAGGTACGTCTTCAAGCCACCACTCAGGGCTGCATAAAGCAGGTATGGGTCGTCCTCAGAACTAAATCATCATTTGAATATTTGAAATGTACTTTTTCTTATTTTTTCATGAATTAAATTTCAATTATTAGTGCTGCGGCTATTTTTTAATTAATTTTTATTTTTAAAAAAGTAAATGTTCCTCATTTTTCTGTGTGAATTATTCTTTTGAGATTGTTTTCAATGGAAGTTCAAAATCCAAGAAAAAAACTGGAATAGATTTCCAGGAATTTTTATAAAAACAGTACCAACAGAATAAGTTTTAGAAAAAGATGAACATTAATTGATCTTTTCCTACCAAAATATGTCTATGGAATATTTTAAAAAATGAGCGCGAAGAATAAACAGTATATTTCAGGACATTTCGATAGAATTCTGATTGAATTCTCATAAAATTCTTCCACAATCCCAATGAAAATGCAATAGAATTTCTTAGAAAATTTCGTATTTCTACGTATTTTCATTGAATTTCTTCATTCGCTGTGGGATAATGCGTACATCATTGACACAAAAATATTAAAAAAACAATTATAATACTCACGTATTGTGGGCAACAAATAAACGCGCATTATTCTGGATATCCTTCATGTATTCAGGTTTCCACTTCAACATGTGTTTTCGACCCAGCACAACAATCTTCTTTCCCTGTTCCTTGAAGAGTCTCACTACCTGTGCCAACTGAGAAAAAAAAAGCGAGATTACACTGAGAAAAAAAATTTTTTTTTCCGAATATTCATGTACTTGAGAGAATAGTTTATTTTTGCAATTACGATAATCATTTTGCTCTAGAGGATGACTATGCTGCACATCACCTTGGATGAACTCCTATTAATTATTCATTTTCCTAAATTTGTTATTTTCTAGAAGGAAGAATATCGATTAATTTCTTCATGTTTATAATTATTCAGGAAGTTCACTTAAGATCATAACTATCATGATCATCTAGAGCAATATAATTGTCGTAATTGAAACCTCATGAGAATTGAAAAAATAAAGACTTCTCTTAAGTGAATGAATATTTGGTAAAAATCATTTTTTTTCTCAGTGCAATTCTGTTGTTTTTACGCACGAACAATCTCATAGAAAAACCCTAGTGAAATTGCTAGGAAATTCTATTAGACTTCTATTGAACATTCTATTAGTTTTCAAAAATTGAGACCTTTCAAAGTGTCCAATACCGTTTAAAATTTTCGTCTGAATTTCGACTGAAATTGCAAGAAATCAGTCAGTGAAAATTCAGAATTTCGTGGAAAAATCAAACAGAACTGAAAATTTCTGGTTCATTTTTCCTTGAAAATGAATAAAAAAACAGAAAATTCTGGTAAATATATTCTTGAATTTTCAGGGCAGTGACACTGAATGTGATTTAGGGGAAAATAATCATAAAATTTCAGATTTCACTGGAAATTCAATATAATTTGGCACTGAATATTCATATTAGATTGGAAATTCAAATAAATTGAAGAATTCTCGTCTTTATACCCCTCAAAATTCTGGAATTTTACTGAATTTTCAGTGAAACCTGAAATTTCATGATTTTTTTTCCTCTAAATCGCATTCAGTGTCATTGTCCTGAAAATTGGTAGTCAACTGTCTATGAAATTTGATTTTTTTCTAACAGTGAATTAAGACCTTCGAGTTTAATAAATTCTCAAATGATATCTTGATTTCCCTTCAACATGCGCCACTTTACCTTCTCTCCCGAGCCCAACCACGTATGATTATTCCAGAGGGTGTACTCCACATTGAGGCCATCAATGACAACATCATAAGGCTGAGCCTTTTCAATGAATTCTTTAAACCTTGCGAGTTCCATCGGATTAGTTTTATCATAAACATCCTTGCCAATAATGGCTCTAGAGATGAAAGAGTTTGATAAATGCTCGAAATCTTCTTTATTCACCTCCAGTTGTGACAGCGTATGACCGCAGCTTGCGCATACCCCGCTGGAAATAAACCGAAATTGTGAATTGATAAATAATTATTGCAGCATCAATTATCTCTTTTTATTACGGAGAACAAAAAATTCGGGGCTCTGAAAATAATTATTGTTTCAAGTATCAATTTGAGGTCGTTTAGACTTCAGACTTTGGAAGAGTTCAACACGTAAAAATTCCACATTTTTATCATTTTTGTTATTTCATAAATTTTCCACTCTATTTTTTTAGCCTTTATATTTGTGTTGAAAAAACGCGCCGACAAAACTAATGAAAAGTTGAATAGAATTGAATAGAATTCGCCAGATTTTTTAATGTTTTTTTTTGTAAATCCTCCCGTACGATAGAATTTATAATAAAATTATGAAAGAAAAACCCTCCCTATACAGGGAGGGTTTCTCTATAATAAGGGAAAACTCTTATTATAGTTGTCTATTAATTATAATAATATTCAATAATATATAATCGATCTATATAATTAACGATCTATGTTCAGAACTCTCAAAAGTATGTGGAGAAAGTGTAAACTGAAAAAGCATTTTTTTTCGGTTTTTCAGAGGGTCAAATTTTCCGTTTTTCCAGGGGGCNAGAACTCTCAAAAGTATGTGGAAAAAGTGTAAACTGAAAAAGTTTTTTTTCAGATTTTCAAAGGGTCAGATTTTCTGTTTTCCAGGGGGAAAGTCGACTTTCGCCAAAATTGAATTTTTTAGCCGGGTGAACGTTGATTCCAACTATTTGAGCGACGGGCTATTCAGAACTCTCAAAAGTATGTGGAAAAAGTGAAAACTGAAAAAAAAAATTTTTCACCCGGACCCAAAGGGGTCAGATCTTGGATTTTTTCAGGGGGAAAGTCGGTCGAAGGGTCACGAGGGCCAAAGTGTCAGATCTTGGATTTTTCCAGGGGGAAAGTCGACTTTCACCAAAATCGAATTTTTTAGCCGGGTGAACGTTGATTCCAACTATTTAAGCGACGGGCTATTCAGAACTCTCAAAAGTATGTGGAAAAAGTGAAAACTGAAAAAAAAAATTTTTACCGTGGGCCAAAGTGTCAGATTTTGGATTTTTTCAGGGGGAAAGTCGGTCAAAGGGTCACAAGGATCACGAGGGTNAAAAAGTTTTTTTTTCAGATTTTCAAAGGGTCAAATTTTCCGTTTTTCCGAAAAGAAATCGATCCCGAAATATCTCGAAAATCTCGAATAATCGTAAGCATAAGACTGAAACCGAAGCACCACTACGTGAGGAGATGAGCAGGCGCGTGTGCAGCACGTGCGGCGGGTCTCGTAGAATTTAAGAATACATTATGAGAAGAATGAAGTAAACATGACTCACTTCGTACTGATCGAGGTCTGCTGTCCAGTCCACCCATACTTCCCGAAAGCCCCGCCAATCTCCTCAAGCACCTCCAACCAGGGGTAGAAGTCCCACCGAGCGAGTGTCTCGAACAATGTCCCCATATGGCCCTCAAGTTCCTCAGCACTCCTCGACACCCTCGTAGCATACTCCAAAAAGCTTCTGTAAACGCTCCTCTTGGGGGGTATAGCCGGCCCAATTCTGTTGACCAACTTCCAGGCAAGATCAGGCTCATTATTCTCGAAAGCCGCGCAGACGATGGCTCTTAAGGCCTCCCCGGTGGGTTTCGCAGACTCCTCGATCATCTTCAGCAGCTCCAGGGACTCCTTCCACTTATTCGTCTTCGAGAGGCCCGTGATACATGCCTCCGCTGTCATTACGTCCAACAGGGGATAGTCCTTCCTGATTGCCTCGTACAGCTGAATCACGTCCTCCTTCTCCTTTTCACTCATCGGCTCCTCTCTACTTGTCAGCAGCTTAAAGTATTTCGCTGTCGTAGCCAAATTGAATTTGTAATCCTGTTGTGGCCATGCAAAACAGAACGTACTGAACGATTTAATACAATAACTGAGCGCTTGGGGCTCTTACAATTAGAGAATTTAAGTTTTCAATTTTTTGTATTAGGGTAACTAAACATGGTCTAAAAAGTCCGAATATGGTCTTTTTCTTAATTTCAGTAGCGAAGTGGTCAAACGGTTTAAGTCGATTTCGACTATTGGCCAGTTTTCTATGAATATCTCGAAATCTAAGGGAGGTAGCAAAATTTTTCTCATAACCTTTTCAGCAGCACTCAATTCGCTCTGCAAAAAAGGTTTGTTTGAGTTTGAAGCTAAATTGAGATGCCGGTTGGGGAAAACTGGAATTGTGGAAGGAGGTGGAAAATTATAAAACCACACTGTTGATGTACTTTATTGTGGAATAACCCACGCGTCTTGATAAATTAATAATGTTGCACTATTGATTTGCTCAACAAAGACAATTAAATGATTTGAAAATGCACTGCATTTGAGATTCTCTCGATATTGAACTTGATGATTGACTCAAAATAATTGATAGTTAACTCGGAATTAATTGATAATTGAAGTAAATTAAATAGAGACCCCCTACAAGAAGTTCAGTAGAAATTGAGAAATTTTGGGATGAACACCTGTGACTTCAGGTAATCGCAGTAGTCCAGGGCGGTCGCGTGGTAATCCAGGGCGCTGCAAGTGTCCAAAATAACTGCGTCAATGTTCACAGGATTCACGTGGAGCGTCTTCGTGGTCAGCATCTCCTCCCGAATCCTCTCCCACATATCTTTGTCCAGTTTGTTGTTACTCTCCAGGCACTTCATCAGGAGCAAGTCCGGGTGATTCCTCGTCTGCGACGGGAGCTTCCGCTTGACCGCCACCTCCGGGGGTACTTCCATGGTCGAGAACCGCGCGAGGAATAAACGAAGGGGTCGAAACCGAAACAGAGCCATTTTCGCGGATCATTCACTTGTTCTCACTATTCACTATTTCACTTTGAGAGATCGTGATGATCGTAACTCAACAATGATCATTCATAACCTCAAAATTCACGCGCGCTCCGGTCTCACCGATATCACGACACGAGGCTTTTCGCAGATATCGATAATCTTCGGAAATTTGTTATTGATTGTGCAGAAATGACGATGAACGCTTTATGATAATTTTGTTCGGAAATACTTTTGTGATATTGCGGTCACTAACTGATCATCTGGGCACGACACGTGGGCGGCAGGGGCGGAGCTAGACGTTTAAAGACCCCACGTGACCTCGGAAATATTTAAAAAACTCCGAAACATTATCCAGTTCTTCACTTAAAAAATAATGATTTTTGATAGTCCGAAATGACTGTTTTTTCCTAAAAAATCACAAGCATGAAAAAATTAAATAGAAAACCTGACGATTTCGCTTGAAAATTCTACAGGAATTCTAATGAAAAAGTCTCCTTGCTTTTTGCGCTGATGCTATTGCACATTTGATAGGAAAAAGTCGATATATTTTGAATTTCCGTTCGAATTTTTCTCTTGAGATTTTTTCTGTTAGAAGTATTGGGCACAAATTTTCCAAGTTTATTCCGCTGGATTTTGTTTTGCTTTAAATTACAGAATCCGAGTGGAAAAAAAATTAATGCCCAAGAATTATTATAGAAAAAATCTCATGAGAGAAATTTAAACAGAAATTCTAAATAGTCCGAAATGACTGTTTTTTCCTAAAAAATCACAAGCATGAAAAAATTAAATAGAAAACCTAACGATTTCGGTTGAAAATTCTACAGGAATTCTAATGAAATTTTTTTAGAGAAATTTAAACAGGTTTTTGAAATCTTGACTTTTTCCGATCGAATATCCAATAGAATCAGCGCAAAAAACAAATAAACCTTCAATAGAATTCCAATAGAAATTCTTATCCAATAGAATTTTTTCATGATTTATTATTATTGTTTTTATTATTTCATCAATATTATCATTGCGTCGCAATAATTGAAAAAAAAATATTATTACTTGTGTTCATCCCTGAAAACAATTATTTTGATAAATTGTTCACTTATTCTTTCAGTTTACCGCAGAATAATTAATAACTTTCACTATTTTATGTTTATATTTTTAAGTATTGAATATGAATTTTTTAAATGAACAAATATAGTCTAATCTTTAGAGGCAATGAGGATTATTTTTTCCTGTGACAAATGCTTGGAATGGAGTTTTCGATAGATAAATTGAGATAAATCAATAAATCGATAGGTACACCACTGGCGAGAGATCATTGGTAAAAAAAGGAACTGATAAGAGAAGTTATAAAACTCACCGATAAATCTCGATCCACTCGACTACACGTTACAAGCTCGACATTGCACAGATCGTGGCCTTTGTTTTCACATTCCGAATGGGTGCGAACCAAGTGGTTGAGATATAATTATTGCTGAAAAGTGGGTCTTCGAGGGGATTATGTGTGGCTCCTGGTGAAAAGGAATAAAGGAATATAGAGCCAGGTGCATGTGAGTGGACGGATTGCGGAAGAGTTACCTCAAACGGGTTTTCCGTATTTTACGGTATTTTCACGAAATTTATTTTTTCCGTTTAACTATTCATTCATTGTCAAATTGCTTGAGACTGTCTAGAGGCCAGTCTATAATCATCAACTCATAATGAAGAGTTAAAGTCCAACACACGACACATTTTAATAGAAAAACTTTGTGAATTCGCTGGGAAATTTTATTATTTATCTATTGAACTTATTTTGTGATTTCTATTAATTTTTCGTCGATCGCAGTGAATAATTCCGCAGGAATTAGTAAAAATTCGATAGAAATATGAAATTCTACAGATTTTTTCTGTAGGAATTCCTTGACAAGAATTCTCCAAATTATTGCCACTCTATTTATCTTCTCGTTAAATTTTTAAAAAAATCAAATGAAAAAACTGAGAAAATTTGAAGAATTCGAAGAGTTTCTACAAAAAATATCGCAATAGAATAAGTTATATCGAATAATCTAGTTCTCATAAAATATTTCTATTGTAAGGTTTTTCCTCATTTTACCGCATTTCCATGAGATTTCTTTTTTTCCATTTAACTATTCATTTATGGTGAGATTACCGGAGACCAATCATTAAGAATGAACTCTTAATAAAGTTTTGAAGTAGATCCTAGTGAATTAGCTGGACAATTCTGTTGGGTTCTTATTAAACTTTCTATTAGCTTTTGGCTGATCTATTGAAATATTCAACTGATTGTCTGCAAATTCTTCGTAGAAAATGCCCGTAATTTTCAAAAAGTGCAATTTTTAAATCACTTCATCAATCCTCCTCCCGAAGTAAACTTTCTAATTTTTTTCAGATTTTTAAAATAGAATAGAATAGAATACTTCATGATACAAATACATCTTGATTCTAATATTACAGTTTTACATCTACACAAGCCACAGAAAAATATCTCCAGTAACACTCCAATAAATTATATTTTTCTATCAATAATGCGTACTATCACCAATGCGTAATGGATAATGATAATATCACAATATCGCAGTTTAACGAGTTGTTCGATTCGCAGTCTCTCAATACTTTCTCCATCCTCGCGAGCCCCAGACTTTAAATTTTTTTTCTAACGGTTCAATATCGAGATTCAAATTCAGACCCGCAAAGTTTAAATACTGAAATCATTGTAAAATGTCCGGAAATTCGGCGTCAAATGGGGCTTAAAAAATTCCGCAATTTTCATTTGTCGCCAACAAAGACGGAAACATTTCTCTCCGTGTGGAGAAAAAAGCCAAATTCCTTGAATATCCTTAAACGCATTATATACAATTCCGTCCCTCAAAAATTCTCTTCCCCTTCAGATAAATAACTCGAACAATGGAGAACTACACATCGGACTCGAGTGACTCAGACTCTTACGTGAAGACCCTAGACCTCTCGTACCTGATGCTGGACGCTGACCTCCTGGACCAGCACTTCATGTCGACAAAAGACGCGGAGAACATCGAGACATTACTATTGAATCACAATCGCATAAATTCAGTTCCCCCCACAATTTCGATATTCAAGAATCTCCACACGTTGGACCTATCCAACTGCAGCTTGACGCGCCTCCCAGACTGCATCGGAGACTGCCCCCTGACCTGTCTCATCGCCAAGAACAACAGTCTCTCTAACGACTCCTTACCAAAGACCTTTGATAATGTCATGAACCTGAGGGAGTTGAATCTCAGTGGAAACAGACTCACTGATTTTCCCGATCAGGTGCTGGAGCTGGCGGAGCTGAAGTACCTCTACCTCGGCGGGAACATGATCAGCGAGATCAGGAAGGAGATTTGGAAGATGCAGAAGCTCCAGGTGTTGTCCATGGGGGGCAACAGGCTGACTGAGGTACCCAGTACTGTGGGGAGACTGACTGCCCTTCAGGCCCTTATTCTCTGTGATAATATGTTAGAGAGCTTGCCGTCCACTGTTGCTAATTTGAAGAATCTCAAGTCACTTCTGCTTCATCAGAATAGACTGAGGACACTGCCTACGGAGATTATTACGCTTAAAGGACTCACTGAGGTGAGGGAATCGAAAATATGGGATTTTTATTGGGAATGAGATTTTTTCGGCTTGTTCACATACGAAAGAATTCCCGCGCACGAAAAAATTGAATAGAAAATACTATTGAATTTCTGTTGAATTTTCTGTGGAATTTTCGCAGTTCAAATTTTCTGGGTTTTTCATTTTTTTTTTGTTTCGTTTCATCAAGAAAATCAAACAATAAAATGGAAAATTTACGCCGAGGAAATTCTATAGAAAGTAATTCAATAGAATAAATGGTATAGAAAAATAAAATTCTAATGACTTTTTCTATGGAGTATTTTTTATTAAAAATTTCTATAGAATCAGAAATAAACTAATGGAAAGTTCAATAGAAAGCCAATAGAATTGTCTAGCGAATTCCCTAAGTTTTTCTCTTAAATTTTTTCGTGCGTGCCCTTTTAAAAAATTTCTTTAAAAAAAATCCATATTTCTGTTAATTTTTCAATCAATTTTCGGAAACCGAAAATCTTCAATCTTTCCATTACTATATTGTGCAGTGCCTGAAGTGTTTTGTTTTTCAAAAATGAATAATTATGGACCCGAGAACGATTCTAAAATTCAACGCATGCAAGGGGTACCGTTACCGCAAGCTGTGCGACGTTGCCGAAAAGGCGGTGAACGCGCTCGGATAATGTAGAATGAATTTGGCAAAATGCTCGCGCCTGAACAAGACGGCGCGGAATCCCTCGCGCGGTGACCAAGGCGCAAATTCGAATAAAGCAAATTTTTGTTTAGGATTGAATGTTTCATCCAAATAACTGAACAGCCACTGAGGTGATCGTCTTCACAAACTAATCAGTTCTAAGTTACATGAAGACATATCGATAGAAATAAAAAATTATTCGAATAGCTTCATTTGTTCACAAGATATCGTTGGACAAAATTTCGACCACATGTATACAAATATACATAAACATGTCTTCAAAAACCTATCAGGATTATTCTAATCGGAATTCCAAATTTGATTTTCGGGGTGATTACAATAACTTCGTCCCTTTGGGCCGGGAAATTAAAAAAAACTCTAACAGGATTTCTATCTTTGTTCAAAAAATGAAAGTGCCTAATTGAGTACTTTAATCAGTTGATGATAATTTCCAACAGCTTTCCCTCAGAGACAACCCCCTAGTCGTCCGATTCGTCTCCGACATGACCCATAATCCCCCCTCATTACTGGAAATCGCAGCGAGAGTAATAAAAACCTCGAATATACACTACGATGATATTGGACTGCCAAAAACCCTGATTGATTATCTCAATTGCGGTCATCGATGTGTCAATCCCAAGTGTCAAGGTAATGGAAAAAAATTGAGTAATCTTCTTTGCAGTGATGAACATTTTTTGCTGAAATTTTTGATACCCTTATCGGGCGGTTTTATTACATAATATAGTTCCACTGAGATTTCAAGGAATTTCGTCATTGAAAACTCGAAATTTTATTGAAAAGACCTTGAAAACCGTAAATTTTAGTTCAATTAGAAAATTTAGGTAAATATATTCTTGAATTTTTCATTAATAATGAATAATTTTGTGCAATTTGGCGCTGATTATTCATGTTTTGATTGAAAATCCAAGTGACTTCTCGCCTTCCTACTGCTTAAAAATGTTTTATTCCGTCCAATTTTCAGTGAAATCTAAAATTTTATCATTTTTTTCAATTCTATTAGATCACTATTGAAAAATCGACTAGTTTTTAGCCGATTCTACTGAAGAATTCCCCAACTTTACCACTTTTTTCTATAAGAAATTTCCAATAGGAACTATTTTCTAGAAAAAATTAATATAATTACAACTTTCAATGCAGCTCATTGGGTCATTTTCTATAGAATTTCCGTGACATGAGCTTTTCAAGTGTTTTCCACTCTATTTTTCTTCTTTTTTAGTTGAAAAAAAAATCGGGCGAAAAAACAGAAAATTTGAGCCGAGAAATTTCTACAGAAAATATCTCAATAGATTAAGTTGTGTAGAAAATAGAATTCTATAGATTTTTTCCCCAGAATGTTTTTTGAGCTGCCGAATTGGGCAGTAGAATCGGCCAAAAATTAATAGAGAATTCAATAGAACTCCAATAGAATTCCCTAACAAATTCGCTAGGTTTTTCTATGAAATTAAATGCCACTTTTCTCAGAATTTCTAGTCAACTCTCCATGAACTTTCATTTTTTTTCCTAACACTACGCTGTCTTCGAAACGGAAGATATGATTTTTGCTTGTCATCTTTCAGGGGTATTCTTCGATAACAGAGTGGAGCACGTGAAGTTTGTTGATTTTTGCGGAAAGTACAGGCTTCCGCTGCTCCAATATTTATGTAGCAGTAAATGTATTGGACCACGTGATGGCGATGAGGAAGTTGTGAGCGGTGCGATGATCAGAAAAGTACTACTCGGCTGAATTAATACGAATAGAGAGATATCACACATTTTATTTTTATGAATACATCACTGAAATAGACCGTTTAGGCTTACAGAAGGCTATTTTTATTTTGTTTATTTAATATTTTATAGTTATTCATGACTTTGTTAAAAAAAAATCTTAATGATATCACAACCACGTAATCTCATTTTTCCTCATCACATGGATTTATGACACGATTTAAAGTCACCTGACACACAGAAAAGAATTTCCCAAAAAAACTGGATTTCTATTGAACTTTCGATTAGCGTTTAGCCGATTCTATCGAGATGTTTTCTGTAAAATTTTCGCGGTTCAAATTTTTCAAGTTTTTTTGTTTGACTTTCTTGATGAGAAGTAAAGAAACATAAAATGAAAAAAAAAGAAAACTTGAGCGGAGGAAGTTCTGCAGAAAATATCTCAATAGAATGAGTTAGAAAAATCGAATTCTTTGACTTTTGACTTTTTATACAGAATATTTTCTATCGAACATGTGAATAGAATTGTCTAGTGAATATGGTAGGTTTTTCTATGAAATTTTTTCATACGCCAGAATTCTTGGATTCTTGGTGAGTGTTAGATGGGAGCAGAAAATTCCTAATGACTGTTAGATGGCAGAAATAAATTCCTAATGAGTGTTGGAGGAGAAGAAAATTCCTAATAAGTGTTAGATGGGAGCAGAAAATTCCTAATGACTGTTAGATGGCAGAAATAAATTCCTAATGAGTGTTGGAGGAGAAGAAAATTCCTAATAAGTGTTAGATGGGAGCAGAAAATTCCTAATGACTGTTAGATGGCAGAAATAAATTCCTAATGTATTTTGTATGAGAGCAGAAATTTCCTAATGAGGTTTGGAGGAAAGGAGAAAATTCCTGATGAATTTCGGATGAGAACAGGAAATTCCTAATAATTATTAGGTGAGAGCAGAGAATTCCTAATGAGTGTTGTATGGGAGTAGAATATTCTAAATGACTGTTAGATGTGAGCAGAAAATTCCTAATGTGTTTTGTATAAGAACAAAAATTTCCTAATGAGGTTTGGAGGAAATAAAAAAATTCCTGATGAGTTTTGGACGAGAACAGGAAATTCCTAACAACTATTAGGTGAGAGCAGAAAATTCCTAATGAGTGTTGGATGAGAGCAAAAAATATCTAATGAGTGTTGTATAGGAGTAGAAAATTCCGAATGACTGTTAGATGTGAGCAGAAAATTCCTAATGAGTGTTGTATTTGTATGAGAGCAAAAAATGTCTAATAATTCTACCCAGAATTACTCATTTGAAATGATCGATAGAGTAGATCCGTTTCGTATCGACGCCTTACACCGCACTCTAGCGTTTGAATTTGAAATTCACAATCGCCATATTGAATACTTCAAAGCGGTTTGAATTTCTAACGTATTTGCCTCATCTTTTGCTTGCTTATTGAGCAGGACGCTGATAACTATTGTTTATATTTCTGTAGAGACCGGTATTTTACTTCGATAGACATAAATAAATCTCAAGAAGAGATAGACACGATTTTGGGGATTAATGGCAGACGACGTGAGTAAAAAACCCAGTAATAACATCAATAAATTGTGGGATAAACAGTGGTTGGAGCTGCACAAACAGGTGCTCGAAGAGGTTGTGTTCAATATTTTTGGGTTTGGTATTTTTCACTCAGGAAAGCAGCAGTGAAATTGTTGGTATTTCTGCTGAAACAGCTCGTGATATCCGTCAATTGGAGATTCTAAAGAAAACACACGCCGAATTGGAGAGTCTCCATAACCTTCTCCGTTTACTGAGGAACGATCTTGAGAAAATGGTCGAGAACTTTTCCTCCATAAATTGTGAGTTTTTAGCCGTGTTTTGTTTTTATTTTTTGTTATTGCTACTGTGGGGATTTTGGAGGGTAATTTGATATTTAAGGGAATTCCTCAATTTGTTCAGGAGAGCACAAATTTTTTCCCGCGCTTTGGCCACAATAGACTTTTCAAAATTTTGTTAATTTTTTTTCTCTCATATATCCTTTCAGGTCTTCACTCAATTTTAATTTAATGCCCGGCTCCATTATCTATCGAACGTCATCTAAATTGATTTTTTTATTCGATTATTATCTCGAAATTTCAACAGTGATTCGACCTCGTACCAGAAAAAATAGTCGAAAGCTACAAATCCATTGACCATCTCCGTACCTCCTAATGAGCTCCATTTTTCCTCCCAGGACCAGCAAATATTCTTCGTCACTCCCAAAGCCCTTAGCAAACCCCCAAAAATGGATAAGAAAATGACTGGCCTCCACGACCCAGCGCAGGAGGGTCAGCTTAAACTGATCTTAATTAATAAATTTGTTTCTGAGTTATAAATAATTTTAAAAGTCTAAAGTGTCCATTTTACCCGCCCCTCCCTAAAATCAATTTTAGTGATTCAACCTCGTGCCATAAAAAATAATCGAAAGCTAAAAATCCATTGAGCATCTCCGTACCTCCTAATGAGCTCCATTTTTCCTCCCAGGACCAGCGAATATTCTTCGTCACTCCCAAAGCCCTCGACAAACCCCCAAAAATGGATAAGAAACTGACTGGCCTCCACGACCCAGAGCAGGAGGGTCAGCTTAAACTGATCTTAATTAATAAATTTGTTTCTGAGTTATAAATAATTTTAAAAGTCTAAAGTGTCCATTTTACTCGCCCCTCCCTAAAATCAATTTTAGTGATTCAACCTCGTGCCATAAAAAATAATCGAAAGCTAAAAATCCATTGAGCATCTCCGTACCTCCTAATGAGCTCCATTTTTCCTCCCAGGACCAGCGAATATTCTTCGTCACTCCCAAAGCCCTCGACAAACCCCTAAAAATGGATAAGAAACTGACTGGCCTCCAGGAGCTAGCGCAGGAGGGTCGAGAGACCCCAGGGGACACCCTCCGCCTCATTCGTCGTCGCTCCAGCATCCTTCCCCGCACGAACTCGGACCCCCTGGAGTTCAACGATGACTCGGTGGAGCGTGGTCGCACCCGTCACGAGTCCCCAGCAACGTCCAGCAACAGCAGTCGTCGCTCCCTCAACCTGGGCTCAGTGGCCCAGCTCTCCTCCCCTCAGATAGCAGCAGGCGTTGCCGAATGCATTAAACTCAACACCGAGAACAAAATCACCAAGAAGAACGCCTTCAGCCTGAAGATGATCGACTTCATGACGTACATGATTAAAAATCGTGACGAGAACATGTCGAATCTCCAGGTGGCGAGCACCACTCTGGACGTGAGTGCCAAAATTTATGGGCTGCGAGTGGATGTTCTACATCAGGAGGCGATGGACATGGTGGGTAATCTGGACCATGAGACGCAGAATGGTGTGGGCAATGGGGAGAACCTCGGTGATTATAGTGACGAGACATCCCAGAGGGACAACAATCCGGCGAAAGCGAAAAGGAAGAAACGAGTACCTCAGGTTCTCACTGTTGTTGAGTCTCTCTGTTGTGACCCTGAGATCATCAAACTGGAACCACCCATGCTGGGGGATGGAGACTATCAGACGTCAGACATGCTCCTGCAGGTGATTTTTTTATTTGTTTGGGACGATTCTATTGAAAAATTCTGCAGGTTATCGGGGTGTTTTTTTTTTAATAGAAATGTTCGACGAAAAATATTCTATGCAATAGGCATCGGCATCAATCATGAGATCACTAATGTTAAGAGAAATTGTATTAATTGAGTGAAGTTTCTCCAGGTAAAATAATTGAAGTTTACCAATCTTCATGGAAATTTTAAAAAATAGTAAAATAATTCTAAATTTCATAAAAAGATTTTTGATTAACCAAATAATCGTCAGTCTTCCGAACTCAATTATTGATTGATAAAATAATCCGGAATTTGAATATTTTTTATTGATGTTTAATTCAAGCCAATTGACTAATTCAAAATTTAACTTTATTTAAATGTCTGCTAAGTAAAAAATAGAGGTCGATTTTTTTATACAACTTATTCTGTTGGGACATTTTCGAAAGTCATTTCTTGGCTCAATTTTTTCAAGTTTTTATAATATGTTGTTTAATGAAAAGGACAGAAAAATGAAATTCTACCGATTTTTTCTATAAAATAACAATTCCTATTCAACATTTATTCAATATTTGATTTCATTTTTTATTCATATTTCTTTCCTACTACCATTACGGTTTTATAGGCTCCCCATTCGTCTGCCTTTCCTCTCCCACCACTCTCTCCAACATTAGATTTTATTTTAACATTAAAAAAGCACCCGCAGTCAAACTGTGGAATTCTCCACTACAGCCCTCCAAAAACTAACAGAATTGCAACAGAAATCCACCAGAATTTCCTTGAAATCTCTACTTTTTTCTACGAAATTTCTTTGCGCATTTATCCTTCTTTCTATTCCCACCCCTCATTGCACTGACTCTCGACACTCCCCAGGTGAACGCCCCTCGGCACGTGGGTCTCGGCCTGGCAATCCACCCCTACAACGACTACATCCTGGACCAGAGAAATCCCGAGGCCGCAGAGCCAAACGACAAAATCCCCTGCACTCCAGTGGAGATCCCCGAGGACTCAGCCATCGGCAGCATCTTCAAGGAGTTCGAGTTCCTCAACTGGGACTCCGAGTACGACCCCTCGAATCGTGTTGACGACTGGACCCAGTGCCTGTCCTCAGCCAACGAAGCCGCCCTGCCCTTCGACCTAAACTCCAGCCTCCCCCCCGACGAGGACGAGGACGACGATTTTTTCGTCAACAACGACGGCATCGGTGACTTCGTCGGCGAGGAGGTCCTGGCCCCAGCAGGCCACGCTCAGAGACAGAGGGAACACCTGATCGACGTGAATGTGGACGACATAATGGCGCACGCCTCAACCGCCAGTGACTACTCATTCTTCGACGAGAAACTCCTCGAGATTAAATGGAGGTCTGGGACCAAGTGGACGGTGAAAAAGGCACCCAAGAACATGGCGATGAGCCTCCTGGAGGCCGAGCGTCGAGCGACTGCGAGGAAGAAGAAGGATTTCTCGTATGATTTAAAATCGGAGATGGACGAGGCCATGGAGAACAAGTTTGCGCCGATGAAGAAAGTCAAGAGGAAGTTCAAGTCGATGGAGAGTAAGGTTGTGAAGCCTGAGGAGAACGTGGGGGACCTGTCGAATTTGTTCAAGTTCAGTTATCGACCTGACGACGTCCATTTGATGCCAAAGAAGGCGGTGGGGAACGGTGGTGAACGATTGGGAGGGGCGGAGCGTCGAGGATCTATCCACATGGATGATTACGACAATGATGGGCATGGGGGTGATGATTATCACCATGACAATTCGATGGATGATCAGCAGATGGTCATGCCGGTGTCTCAGAATGGAAACGATCACGATGAGTTTGCGAGTCAGGGGGGATTCACTGGGACGAACCTCGTGGAGGCGCCGAAACTCACTGAGAAAATCTACATTCCGTTCTCCCAGAGGGCGAAGAAACTTGACATGAGACATCTGAAGAAGTGCATTTGGAATAGTATTAATACTGGTAATGAAGATAAAGAGAATGTCGCTGGAGAGGAAGCTCATGACAATGGGAAGGAGAACACTGATGAGCCGAAACCGTTCGCTGATATCTACATTCATCTTCCGGAGATGCTCAACAAGAATGACGCCAAGGAGTTGAGCTTTCCCATTGCTTTTGTGTCCCTGCTGCATCTGGCGAATGAGAAGAAATTGAAGCTGATGGCGACAGAGGATTTCTCGGATATCATTGTCACCCAGGACACAGCACCATGATTTTTTTTATGATTAGGCGTAGAGTTATAAGTATATTCGTGGAGATGACTTCAATAAACGTTCGTTATTACGATTTTTATAAAGTTGATTGGTTACTGGTTGATTATTTTATGAGTGTGGCAGAGGACATTTTTTAATCCACTTTACACTATTTTTGAACTCATTTTTAGTATTTCAACTAGTCTATTGATCAATTCGATTTTTTGGATAGATCTGTGATAGACAAAAGTCAATAGATTTTGATTTTCATATCTGAATTATTCTGTTGAGAATTTTTTCCGCGGCTTTTTGTCTCATTGCAAAATTCAAGAAAAAAAATTTAAAAACTCATGTTCATTTCTAAACGAATTGATTTTAATTTCTCTCCCGTTGCTGATAGCCTGGTGAAGACCTGTCCGACCAAATAAAAACCGGAGTCATTTATCCAACGATCATCGGTAAGATAGACATTGCATAGACTAGGCCAATGCTACCATACCGATGTAAGAAGCGTAAAGTAATCTGCAATTTCTAGTATATCGACTCTGCTCGGTGGTTCCCCCGCGGTTATCTGCATCCGCGGTAGTGCATCGGCAAAGTAAAAGTTTCGATCCCAAGCGTCTATAAGCCTTTCAGTAGAAATTTTTCCTTCATTTTCAGGAGTGGGAGAAACTACAATTCGTCAACTATCCACTGTACATAATGAATATGCAGTCGAGGCTTTGTATAAGATACTTCTCTATAAATATTTAGTTCCCTGGGCTTCTTATAAGATACCTATGGCCTCGATCATTTTTCAACGGGAAAAGAGTGATTATAAGGATCAAAGGGAGTTAAGGGTCAAACGGGAGGGTCAAGAGGTCAAAGATGAGAGTCAAGTGAAGTAATCAGAAGGGTTAAACGATCCCAAGGGCCACCTCTTTTCTTCGACGCTATAATTATTAAAATGATGACGCAGAATTATCTTAATAGAATAAAGCCTAATTAAAATTCAATTAATTTACGTACTTTCAATAATTTGTACTTCAGCTGTCCAGAAGTGATTATTCTCAAGTCCCCCAACAATCCCCCAACATCAGCTGCCATTCTATCACCCGGGGTTATGTTTAGAGAGAAAAGGGAGCGCGGGCTAGACGAATTCAAAACATTAAACTCGTATAAATTGATTAATTATCAATATCCATTCAGTAAAAATGCATATTCCATAGAATTCGGGCGCAACGAGCGAGGTATCTTATTTCAAACCGCTGATCCCTATTTTCTCCTCTCTATAAGCGCGCGTAGTGGGGGTATACGGATTCCCGGAATTCCACTCTCCTACTGTCCCTAAGGTATCTTATATAAAGCCTTGACTGTATTACATACCGAAACATTGGAAGTGCATGAAAAATCATTAAATCAATAAATGCCTGAAGATGGAGGAGTCTTCTACGCGATTAGAATGAGTTCATTTGCAAGGAAATCATACTTGAATGCCAGAATGTTTTAAAGCATGAAACCTTCATCGGGTCACGCGAGTTGAGATGCCTGGGAGAATTAAGCGATAGAAAAAAAATACTTGCATGAAGGAAATATATTTCAGATATGAGAAATTTTTTCCTCAGTGTAAAATCGCACGTGCTTCCACGGCAAGTGATTTCCCCCCGAAAATATTGGAACATAGCGAAGAAAAGTACAAGTTGCAAATTGAATTTTTACATAGAATCGCAGAGGTTGTGACGGGAAACGACCAGTTTTCAAAGAAATTTGAATGCGAAAGCCGGTGCATGCTGATTTCCGTATAAATGTCCGCAACATAAATTTTCACAGGTGTAAAATAGGAATTTCTGGCCCAGATATTTTTTCCACGGGTTACCCCTTGCACTTACAGTTGATCTTTTGGCATGTTAAACCAAAGGATTTTGGGAGTAGATGGTGATAGCAGACGAATGCCGAATAAATTTCCATGTGGAATATCTGGCTGAATAAATCAATGCCAAATAGGTCCGCATAAGAGCTCACGTTGAGTCCATCCGGGATTTGTGCAGCCGAACTTGTGCGCTACGAAGCCGAAGATACGGTGCGCGACGAGAAAAAAAAGTCATCGGATGAACGAACGGGGACAATTTCGTTCGCTGGAAATCTGTTGGCCGAGAATGTCCCCGGCGAAAATTATGCCCGAGGAGAATGTGCACTTCTGTGCATAAACGATTTGACCCGTGCGACAAGGCGAGATGAGAAGGATATATCATTTGGAGAGATACATCCGAGATGAGAGGGTATATTTCTCTCGTATTCCTAGACGAGACAAGACGCGGCAATAATTCTACATTAACGAGACAAGTCGAGAACGGCTTTTCTGCAGCAGAAAATTGCCATATGGAAACTGGAGGACAGAAGCAGGAGATTTACAATATATTATACATGGGTATAGCTTCCATACATTTTCTGTAATTTCGGGCCAGACATTTCTGATAAGAGGAGTCTTATGATGTTTGTTTTAGACGGATAACTATCAACGTAATGGTGACTGCAGGTAACGAGGAGAGACCGGAAAACGAGGGCGTTTTAACGGAGGGGCATGAGGAGGTGATAAAGTATTTTTTTGTGGATTAAACGGGAATTTAATGCGGATGTCCTGATGATTTTTTACTGACTGATGGGGTGGTATGGTTATTATATATAGATATTATGTATTTCTATATTGAATTAATTTTGAAAAATTGTATATAAAATCTATTAAATATTATATACGATATTTTGATTTTTTGAGAATTAATTAGGAGTTTATGAGGTAGGATATTTTTTCGAACATAAATATAACATAAAATGGCAAAATAGATCGGTGACAAAAAGTTTCACTAATTTTTTTCACAGAGGAGAAATTAAGGATATCCAAGTAATTTGGCAATTTTTTTTCCAGGAAAATGCTTTTCTACTTTTGTTGCATTTCCGTCCTTTCCAACCCCAAGTTTCCAGATATTTTATAGTGAATTTATTATTTAAACTTTGCAGCTCTGAATGTGAACTTCCATATTGAACTGTTGGGAAACATTTTAGAAATATGAAAAAAATAGAAATATCGATGAAACAATTGAAAAATTACAATTTTTTAAAATCACGAGCATTTGCTATGAATAATTTATAAACTATCAATTTTCTACTATAAAAATTATTGATTTGGAATCGTAACAAATTTATTGTCATTCAGAATCTTATCAGAAATCGATTTTATGCCGAAAAAAAAAGAATTCCGAAAGATAAAACAATTTCAATTATTTATTTATAAACATTTATAATTCTGTGCAAAATGGTATTTGAATGACGCTGAATATTCATGATTTTTTTCAAATTCAAATATTTCTTTTCATTCTACAAGAAGAAATTAAGTAGAAATTCCTGGCGGATGCTCCAACTTCTTCATTAAATCGTGAGAAATTTTCAGTTGAACTACTGAGAAAATGTTTATGTACTTTGAATTATAATTTCAAATGGATCGAACGCTGATGTCTTGTTTAGAGACGAGAGAGATCTACTCCCCTGAGAATAATCAACCACGAACGATATTTCTGTCTCAAAAAAATGATTAAATTACTAAAAAACTTGAACTGATATTTTTTTATTCGAGTTTTATGAAACGATAGATTGGGGAAATATTTCTGTGTGTTAACACTTCGTTGGTCGCGTTGTGAGCATTGTGCCGCACTTTTTCCGATTTTTTTGTCGCATCTAGTTTCCGAGATATTCACGTTTTTCTCTCCACATCTCCCATTTAAACCAATGTTAAATTGTTTTTTTGATCGTCTATACTGACGTCAGTTTTCATTCTATCGGGTTGATTTTGGGCTCAAATGTGAGAAATCTGATCAAGATTATCGGAACATACATAACTCCAATACCGTCAAAGTGGGCCCTTTTCATGTGGCCGCCCACAGATAATGACAAAACGCAAAAACGTTATATTTTTTCACGTCAATTCCATCATAAGTTTGCCAGAAAAATAAAAAAAACATGAATTTTGGCAGAAATGGTGTCGAACATCCTTAAATCTCGTGTCCCCAACTCTATTTTAAATACCTCCCCGAGCGCATTCACGACAATCCTAGGCGAAGCTGCGATATCGCACGTCCTTCCCGGATCCTGCGCCGAACTCAACGCTGAAAAAGAGGGAAGAGTAATGGGGGTTAGGTAGTGGTGATGCTCCTAGCGGCGGCGCGTCGACAGTACGGGGAACGGAGTTTCCTTGAGTACGAGAGGGGTTTGCCAATGGCGTCGCTTTTCAACCCCCCATCCCCATCATGCCCTCTCACTTCCACCTCACGGTTTCGCCACTCACACACTCTACTACGAAATTCCACAGCAAAACACGACCAGACAGCCAGTCGCTTGCCGTACGTTCGCCGACGGATGCCAGAGCAACAAGGTGGGTGGGTGACAGCTAAATGAATATGTGCAACCACCTCGGCATTATTTCACTGATGAATCAAGTGATTCCATCTATTATTGATCGCCGAGAGCAAGTGTCGATGTTCAAGTACACGAGACTAGTGGAACAATGGAGTGTTAGCCAATAAATGTGTCAACTTGGTCTCATTGCAATTTCAAAATCCGAATCGTGTGATACGACAGTTGTACGGTAGATCATGCCCACTGGCTTGGGATTGCACGGTCAAGAAGCTTTCCGTTGGCAATCGATATCCCATGGACATCAGTGAGATCAGCAATGACAGCACCGCGGAATCGACGCCTCCTCGTCTCTCCCTGGCCTGGAATTGACAATTATTCAACACGACTTTCCGTCGAGGACTCACTGATCCGATGATCATGAATGGAATCCGGCAAATTATGAATGAACAGTCGCTGCGAATTGTCCGCCGATCTAAAGTAGCCGCAATGCCGCGAGAGGAGTGAGTGCATACGGAGTCCTTGGTAGATATGATTCGCTATTGACCTTACTGTTGGTGCATATCTGCCACAGGTTATGGGGACAGGTGCGGGTGAGGTGAGAATTTCGAATGGGAATGACAGAGGGTGATGGTAGACAGTAGCGGGTGATGCTGAAAAATCTGGCCATCAACTATCCGACTAATTTGGGCTGTTTCCTTCGCCGGAGTAGCAAGTTGTGTGTTG